GCTAAAACCTCTGGTCTCACCCTGAACTTTCTGTGTCTTAATCTGAACAACCATTCCAAACCAGAGTAAAGTCATACAGACAAATATGTCTACTTGCCAGTGAGAGAACAAAAATAATCTCTCAATTTCTTCGTCTTTTATTCCTGAGTGATGAATCACGATTCTACTGGGCATTTCAAATCATAACTTTATCCTTCCCTTATAGACAACCATTTCATCTCCTTTCCCAAATAATCTGCGCTCTACAGGTATAAAACACTGTATCAATCTCACTGCCTTCCCATTGCAAGTCGTAAGGATTGTTCCTAATATGTATTGGGTTTTGGAACTTGCTGCTACCTTTTCCAACTTGACAAGCAGCCTGTGCACCTGATAGTTTGTATATTGTTTCCAAAGTACATTAAGTTTGTCATATTTAAAAGTGATCAGCTCTAACTTCATCACTTTTCTCTGTCATTGTCCTTAAATCACCATGAGTTCAACAAAGCTTCCACTAGAAACCCGACACAGGACATCCAACATGGAAGATCAGCTTTTTGCTGTGGTAAAAAATATGTAGACATGAAAAATTCTCATATATATATGTGTTAGAAAACATTGACATTTGTTATAATGTTTTTTATAATAACCAGAAGATGGATTTAGCAAAACCTTTCTTCATTGATAAGCAAATAATTGTCACATAAAGTATCCCTAATGTATTTAGGTCGGTTTTGCTCATTTATTTTTAAAAAGTTAGATTTCTATCGTACTTTATTAAAATCAGACCATTGCATAAATACACAGTGTTACATGAATAATTCCTGCATGTTAGTATTTGGAAGTCATGTCATTGTGTTCACAGGGATGCAAGACTACAAGGTCTGCATTTTGTAATATAATTTGTCTTGGGTAGAATTGATACAAAGCTGATGAAAAATTATGCTCATTTTGCAGTAATAGTAGTTATAAATACACACTGAGCAACTCCTAGCAGAAGTTTAACCTGAGCCAAGAAAGAAGACAAGGAAAATGAAAAATGGAATCTTGGTAACTCTATGTGGCATCTTTATAATTAAGTGCCACACTGATTAGAGGTCTAAACCATCAATTGAAAATTAATGAACTTCCCTTAAAAAAGCAAGAGAGGATCTGACAATCTTGGGTACTGTCAAGATTCATCAATATGTATTTTGACAGCTGTTGTACAGTAGTTTACTATCGTGATATTCATGGAGCAAAGCGATTCTTCAAATGTCTGTGGCACAACTGCTAGCAATCATGTGCAATCACCAATTATGTGATACACAGCTTTTACTTGAAGGCTTTTTATGTACTCCAGATTCTTTGAAAATAACCCTGTAAACTGTTTGTACAGCCTGCAATATCTCTACAATTGCTTTCATGTAGACATTACATTTTTTCCCCTTCTGCTAATCCTACAGTTTGCAAATCTGGAAAATCCTGCTGACTCTCAGCAATACATGTGAGGTTTTAGATTTGGCTCCAAAACCAGTGCTAAAACTTTTTCCAGCTCTTTCTGTGTGTCAGTGTCTTCTGTAATCAATCATATTTTTTATGAAGCAGAGAAAAAAAATATCAGGAAGTCTTTAAGGCTCTAATCCACACAGAGGGTTAGATCCAGGACCTGAGTCTGAAACAGAAACAAAACATCAGTGTAGCAGGTGCTAGGAAAACTTAGAGTTTTTGTTTTGGTTTTTTATTGGGTTTTGGGATTTTTTCTGGTTTTTTCTTTCTTTTTCAATAAATAAGTTGCTAAAGAACTTTAAACCAACAAACAAAAGATGCATAATGTGTGAGAGGCCTTCCAAGTAGCATTAAGAAACTGGATGTTTGACAGTCAATTCTGTGGAAACATGGCACTGTACCTTAAGTAGAAGAGAATTTAATGTTGAGAACACACTTAGAATCCAGAATACACTGTTGGAAAAAAAAAAAAAGGGCTGCAAACATGCCAGTCCTGTCATCTCATGATTACTCCTCCTTCCTCCAGGAAGCAAAAAAACCTCCAGAAGCAACCAAGCAAGCAGAGGCAGATGTGAAAACTTATTTCCCAAGTGTCCTGTTAAAGTGGTGCAGATAATCGTATATTAATACTCCTTGAGAGCACAGATGATGCTCAGTGGAGCTGCAGGATGCTCCTGGTCTCTTGGTATCCCAGCAGGGTTGGGACAACACAGTCCTGCCCTGCTGCACAGCCTGGGAGGGTGAGGGCAGGGCAGCTGCAAAGCCATAAAGCCAAGCCAAGGGAATTCCCTGTCCATTTACATCAGATGTACCTTGCCTAATTCAGCCTCTGGACTCTCAGCTATCTACCTTTAAGCAAAAATCGCAAGGATTGAAAAATCAGCTATTACCTAGGTCTGTGTCTCTCCTTGGCTGATAACAAGCTGAGAAGCTTGTTATCAGCCAAGGAGAGACACAGACCTAGGTAAACACAAACACGACACCTCCAGTTCCCTACAGCCCAATGAAAAGAACATTTTAAGGACTACGGTTGATAACGCTAATTTGTCCTGCTATGTCTAGCAAATCACGTGGGGCATACTGATACCTCTTTAATAGTTTAGTGTCTGAATGGAATTAACTATTTTAAGATTTCATAAACATTTGCTGAGAAGACAGAGGAAGCTATCGCAGAAAACAACTGGAGCTCAATAAAACTAGATTAAACTCAATGAACTTGTTAAGGTTCAACCAGATAAGAGTATAGAAGACCTGTGAGGAAAACAAATATGGTTCTATCCCTCTGTTAGGTCAGTCTAACACTTTATCAGCCCCATTTATTTTTAAATAATGATTTGGTCTAGCCAGAGCAGAGTTATTCTGTATCTGGCTCACATGCTTCACAAAAGCCATTGAAATTTTGGAACTATTTGGAAGTCTAAGAGCTTTGTCACATGCCTAAATATTACCCACATTTACCCTTGTAGGACTTCCCATGCAGGCAATTTACAGTTGCAGTTCTCCCTTCCCAAATTTCCATTGTGTGCCAGCAAAAAGCTCAGGGAGATGTATTCCCCAACAGAGCCCATTTCCCCAGGGAACAGCAGAAGTATCTAGCACAAAAAAGCACCTCAGCTCTCTGACCTGTAGGTCAGATGAAATGGAAAAACTGTTCATAAAGTTTTTGGCAAAGACAAACCTGTGCAGCGTTTTAAACAGTGTTTTAGAGGCGCACCTGTGACAGCTGTCACACAAATAATCCTATGAGAAGGGTTTTACATTTAAAATTGTAATCAAGAGGGAGCTTAAACTGCATGTGACACACAGAATGTTTAATTTGAAGAATGTTGTGTTTCATTGTTTTGGGAAAGTTATAGCCCAGAGGACCATTACTGCAGCCAGCTAAAGTGCATTAGATGCTACTAAACATTCATTCCCTCCAGGCTTAATTCCAAAATACTATCAACCCTCTTCTGTGGGGATTTCTCTTCTGTGAAGAAAATGGCATTTCTATTTTGGATCCCTTGTATGCTTTGAAAGTTCTCTCCCTGCTTCACCCTTTTTTTTTTCCCCTTCTTGATCCTTAGGACTTGATTTCATAGGGAAGCTTTTCAGTTCATAACCCTCTCTGTTATATTTTTTGTTTAAGTCAGACTACTCTGGTGAAGAAATATTCAAATTATGTCTTCATTCTACATTGCTTCCTTTAACAGCTGTCTTCTCAGAAGCTGTATCTTTGTGTCACAATAGGCCACAAGCCCAGAAAACAATTAAGTCTTCTAAATTACTCAGCAGTGCATTCATTTGATTAAACCAGTACTGTCTGAATCCCTTAGCATCCAGGTTACTGATCAAAGTTTTGAGTATTATCCAAACATACTTTTTAAACAAAAAATTTACATTGGAAACCAAATGGGTAAGTTTGCCTTCCTGTTATATTTCACATAGAACTGAAACATACTGTATATTTTATCTAAGAAATGTATTGAAATGAGAGCTGAACTGTACAGAAAAGAACTGTTTAACCAGACATTTTCTACAAAAAAAAAAAAAATTAGTGGATCTCTGGCAAAAGATTTGATTTCAATAGTCACAGGCAAGTTTGCAAAATAGGACGGGGAATCAGATCACAGAATGGCTGATTAACATCCCTGTGCTCAGCCCTGTTGAGGCTCTGTTGTGGAAACGTGACAACTGTAGGCACTTGTATGACAGTTTGGGTGCCTTATTCTGTGGTTGGAAATCACACACAATATACACAACTACAAAATCATTTGAGGCATTTTAGATGACCCAAGTGTACCCACGTGTCATCACTGTTGATGCTCTTTGTTCTGTAACAATGAAGAGTAATATATGCAGGCAGGCTGTCACATAAATACAACTTAAAATAAGTGAATAAAAATACTTAACTCAGTGTTAAAATAACCACAGTTTGGAAGAGTCTTAGTTTGAACTGAATTACTTGGAGTCTTCTCAATTTACCATGTAATTACTCACATTTTAAGATTACATCATCTCATTTAGACACTTTTTCCCCTTTAATACCTTGGTTTCTAACTCTTGAAATCAAGTCTGTCAGTGATAATTCACAATAAAAATACAGTGACATTTCTAAAATCTGAAAGCACTACTGCATGTACACTATCTGCTATGCTGATAAAATAGACACTTTTATTCTGAAGTGCAGACATTTTGACATCTTTTAGTAGAACTAAAGAGTGATGTTAAGAAAAATTAATCTCCCTTATGATGTTGAAGGTAGGAATTTTTCAGTGAAGGATAAATTGTCAAGTTCTTAAGAGATCAGATATTACTATGGATAAAGGATCTTGACAGAGAAAAAAAGCAATAAAATAAACATAGAATCTAAACTTCTGGGATTTTTTAATCAAAACACAATTTTAGCAGCAGTTACAGAATCTATCCAGCTACAATATGTTTACATCAAAGCAAACAAAAGTTATTAAGAGAAATATCAAATTTAATCACATCTGACTTGCAAACAAAGTTGGGAATGCATTTAAGAACAATGCAAAAGAACTGGTTCATACCTCTTTAAGTAGAATCTCTTTTAATTCAGTATTTCAGTTTCATTTCAAAACATGTCAGTGGCCCATATGAAACACCTGAGAAAGTTTACTCATCCTCTGTGGAACACAAACAGTCCATCACACTCAGTATTTTTACCCTTGTGGCAAGCCTTAGCAGAAGAGACTGAAACAACATCCTTATTCTCAGAGGCAATCTCCCTGGAGTAAAAAACAAACAAAAAAAAAAGGGTGGAAGAAACGTGGTAGAAGTTTAGACTTACTGTGCGTGCAATAACCCTATCACGCTGGAAAATATTGTGTTCTGTAGCAACTGGCCAGGGACACTTAACTGCTGCTTTGCCAGAAACACACCACCACCGTGGAAGAATTCAGGGTAGATGCAAGCTGTGCAGCAGATTTATTTTAACCTGATCTTTATGAGATTTAAAACATGGAGGTGTGTTCCAAAATACTGCAGCTCTTGGGATGAAATGTCTGATCAATCTACACTAATGAAAGCTCAGTGACTCAGAGTTGCATAAAACACCCGCAAAACACCAGGGCCTACCGACCCCAGCAAAATGAGAAGTATGAGGTACCACAAGAGGCATTCCCACAAAACCTGAGAGAAGTGGCACAGGTGCCTGGACTACCCTGGCTTTGAAAAGCTTCTTAGAAGCAGGTGTTTCAGGCTTTTATACAGCTAAAAGAAACATTTCCAGGAGATTGTTCAAAATTTCAGAAACATTGATTTACCCTCCCAACATGCTTCATCCTCTGCATTACCAGAGGATAAAGACTATGATCATAAAATTTCTGCAGTAGGAAGTAAGAAAATATGAATGATAGCGGCAGTTATTGAATTTTTTTAAAACTTGAATGATTCCCAGAGTCATATTAAAATATCAATGAAATAACAATTCATGTTATCACTGGCTATGGCATACAACAATAAAGAGCAATGAACATGTATTTGTGGCCAAAAGCAGCAGAGACAGGTAAAATTTAGAGAAAATTAAAATATGCACTCTTTCTCCATTGGGGAAAGAAACAATTCCATGTTTTCCCAGTTCTCAAAGACCAATTAAATGTTTGTAGTGCACCAAAATAATTAGGAAATAAAGATAATAAAGATAATAAAGAGAGGAAAACAGAGAAAGAATATAATGGGCATTTTAGGAAATATACTTAAATGTGTTAATTTTTAATCTTAAAAGGTGTCAGACATAGGTATTTTCCCATATTAATCTATGAATATTAGAAACCATAGAATGAAATACTTACTGAAAAAGTAAGGAAATCTAAGGTGTAAGAAGTCTTGGATTTACTTTAATTCATTAAAATATAATCACAGGGGTAATATTGCACTATGGAATCTGGCTGCTGTAGTGTTTAAGTGCTTTCCAGCTCCAGGCACTTAAAACCCTAGTAATAAAAATTAAAACTACAATTTGAATAAAATTATTCATTTCAGTCATCAATTAATGCAACAGTAGTATATGATATTTACTTACCAATTTCAACATTTCAACTTTGACAGGTCTGCACAAAGAGTAATTTTATATTTCATCTCTGAGGAAATGTATCACTCCAGCGTAAAAGAGAAAAACTACAGAAAGAGATGAAAAAACCCCATAATGCAGTATTTCTCACTCTTGAGTTCCATCCAGCCTAGAACCTCATGCTGCTTCATAAAAATTTGTGATGAGAGATACTAGACACTGCACATTTTTTGTTCAAGCCAAAGGATTCACAGATCAGAAGCACAGTGTGTTGATTCATGATACCTGACAGCTTGTCAGTGGTGGCAGCACAAGTCGCTGTATCCAGCTGCTTCCCCTGTCCCACCCCAGTGCAGCGTGCCTGGGAAATGCGGCAATCCCTGCAGGACAGTCCCTCCGTGCCAGCACATTTCACAGCTGGGTGCCGTGACCTCCAAACACCATCTATTTCAACCGGGATGTGAGCTCAGCGGACAGGGGGACACTGGCAATCTGCTCTGCTACTGGGCAGCGAAACTCCACTCACATGAGCCTCAGCTCCTCCTTGGGACTGCATCATGCATCAGATACATTTTAGATTGCAGTGAAATCTTTCAGACTGGAAACATTAGGCACCTGGGTTGCAGGAGGAGAAATTTAAAAAGCCAAAAATGTGTATGCTGTATGTGTGGGTTAGTTTTCACTTATCTTCAAAATCTTAAAATATCAAGTGATGTGATGAAGAAGGAGCAATAGTGAATGTGTTTAGGTCTTACAGATTCCTAGAAATGCAGTATTTGACAATATCCAGTCTGTAATATACCTGTGAAATACACATTTCTTCAAATATTCCAAGCATATTAGCAATTGCAACTCATTCCCCCAACTTCTGCAGATCACCCACAAAACACATTTCTAAAGGAATCCTGAAAGCAAGGGCTGGACTGAAGGACCGGAAATGCCCTTTCTCCTTGCTCAGTTGCACTTGGATCTAGCTGGAGATTCACAACGCTTGCACAACACGGTGTGGGAAAAGGGCACACCAGATACAGCTTCCAGGGCCCCTGTGTGACAGGACTGCTCAGCTTTCATGGATGAAGGATATGTATTGGCCTACCAGGATCACCTTAGGTTTTATTCAATGAGTTATCTGCTTGAGGTAAAGAAGAAAGTTGATTTTGAGGGGCAAGTCAGTGGTTGCAAATCCTTTTCCTACATAAGCCCAAGATGATTTAATTGAACTCTGCCTACAGCTACACGATTTCCAGACATATTGAACGGCAGTCTGGGTTTTCCAGACCATTTTTTGCCCTTTGTTCCATTATGTACATCTCTCTGCAGTTCCTTGCAGCCATATGGGCTTACGTAAAAATACCAAAATCACCAACAACAGCTTCAGTTATAAAAAGTCCTGGGACAAAGTAATCTAACTTTCAGGCTGAGTAGGTGTTAAAATTACATGCATCTGAGAGAAACCAGCATTCTCTAACACCCTCTGATAAGGCTTGCATGCACTTTAGCAAAAACTCACTGCAGATCCTTGGTGCATTTAATTTAATTTAGCATTAACCAAACTATAGAAGCTGAAAAAAAGGACAAAAACCTCATTGAGCCTAAGAACAGCTTCCCCATGCCTCTTGAGATGCATATACTACCACCTTCCCCTAAAATGGTGAACTTTGATGAAGATATCCTTTTATGCTAATATAAAAAGTTATTAGTATTCAGCAGTGGAAGCTCTGGAGAGCTATTTCTAACAGTTTAAAAATAGGATTTAGAAATGTTCCTTTAAACATCACCAAGGGAAATTGCACAGTCAGGAGAGAAATTGCTTACATTTATGCACAAACTCATGGTACTTAAGAGGAAATAAAGGCCTTCAGTCACAGAGCATCCATTTATGTCCTTGGGAACACAGGGAAAGGAGAAAAAGAATTTGAAGCTAAGCATCTGCAATATGTCTCTGAGAGTGGGTTCAAAGGACTTGATGCAAAACAATTATTCAGATATAGTAGGAAGAGTGGGCAAGGCATGGACAACTGACAATCAAAGGCCGAGCTCTTTGGATACCCAGGCAGGTCAGGACTCTCATCATCTGTAGTCATTCAAAGGAGAAAATGATTTCCTGAAAGCATCTTCTAGACCACAGGAAGCTTCAAGGTAACTGTAGTGACCACAGGCCTCTCTTGAGAACCTTTCTCTTCTCTGGGCACTCTTCATGCAGCAAGGAGCAGTGTAGCATAAAGGTACAGGGACTCATGGTTCAAAGCTTATATTCAGTGATGAACATTATCTAAGAGATGACTTTTCTACCACCCTGAAAAGTTTTAAAAGGTCCTTAAGATCCTGTGAAGGTAGGAAGCAGAGCATATAGATCAAATCAGGATATGGTGGGTACTGATACCTGCGTGAACCCTCCTCCTAAGTCCCCATCACAAGATCATGAGTATTTATAGACTGCAATGAGCTATGTATGGTAGCATTTTAAGAAAGAGTTATTTTACAAGACTTTATAAAATAATATTTTTCCTGTATTTACTAAGAGTACAGTATAACTGACACTTTACTTTCTAAGTCCAAAGTCAAGAGAGATGAAAAATGCTGCTTGCATTCCAGAAACAGGACTCAATGGAAGCCAACCCTGGATATCATGGGATTTCCTTCCTCCCCAAGCCCTTCTTTTTATCCGTTACGACCTTAGTTCTTTGTTTAATGGCATATTACAACAATAACTTTTTTTCACAAAGCCACTTGAAATGATTTATTATAGTTCCACACAATACCTCTTGTTTATTTCTCTTCTGAAATTATGTTTTCTCTTTGCTAAGCTGAGGGTAATAGCTGCTGAATGCTGATTAGGGTTGTCCTTATTTGATTACTGTTAATTAGAGTCAAGCATGTAGTGCATCAGACGGGAGGACTGCAGATCATTGTGACACTTCAAACAGCCTGTTTGACTTCAGCAGAGCCTGTTGGAAGTTTGGAGTCAGAATAAATCTTCAGCAGAGTTGTTTATGCATAGTTGTGTAACATAACACAGCATGGGGTGCTGGACTATTTGGTTAATTAGTTTAAGAGCCTGTCAGTGGCAGCTCACCTCCAGGTTTATCATTGGAAATTGCAATTAGCATGAAACAGTTTTCCTCTTTGGTCCAATTTCTCCCACACAAATCATTTTCTTGCCTAAGAAACCCAGGACCACAGCCAGTCAGTATTCACTCACCCTCTTCCACTAGAGTCTCCATGGGACGTCTGCAGCAACATCAAAGAGCTAGGCTAATCCCAGTTGATCTTGGAAAAAGTCCAGGGTTTCCTGAGGCCTTAGGGCTGTGATTAAAGAATACACCTGTCTGCCTCAGTAATGAGGTCAGACTATCTTTGCCAACAACAGGCTGCTTTTTCCCTGTGACACACCTCCTGGAGGAACTGACTGAAGAAGGTGCAAGTGCAAGGCAGTCAAACAGCAATCCAGAGCCAAGTAGCAGCCTCTAACAAAGCCACAACTATTGCAGAACTGCTCTCCTCCCCCAAATCCCCTATCAGCTCCCTCTTCTTCATATGACACAGACTGAAAATGACATTTGGTGCTGAATTACTTCACATAAAAGGCTGGAAGTTGTTGATGTTGTCTGGGTTGGCTGAAGGTAATGTAACCTATACACAAGACATTTCTGAAACACAGACAACATAAAATTTACTTAAAGTCCAAAATTAAAAGTAAACACTATCTTC